TAAAATGTGATATCTTTGACCTGAATAGAAAGATTGTGTATCTGTGGAGAGGGGAAGGTAGAAACGAGGGAACATGTTATGTTCGAATGTAAGATGTACCAAAGCATTAGAGACATTTACATAACCCCGATTTGTTCTCGGTTTCCTGGGAGAAATGAAAGATTTTACTTATATAAGTTGCTGGCTGACAAAAAGCAGGAAACTATTTTAATCATGGCAAAATTTGCCATGTGGGCCATCAAAATCCGGAAACAAGCTTTTAGTAGTTAGATAGTGACTACTGTACTTAAATAGAGATTTTAATTATTTAACAATATTTTATTCTTAATATTTTAACTTTTGATATTCTGGATAGTGTTTGTATTAATTTTAATGCTTTACTGGCTGATGTCTTTTCAGTTCTTTTATGTATCTAGTCAATGACTGTATTAATAAACTACTAACTAACTTGACACAGAGAGTACTCCATCTTTCTGTGTTATACCTCTGAGGATGCCAGTCACAGTTACTGGTGAAACGTCAGGTTCTATAATGCCAAGACCACGGCCTCACAACCCGGAAAATCTACAGCAACTAATGAACTCCGGCCGTGAAAGCCTTCGACAACATACTAACTAACTACTTGAGACAATAATATGCTGTCTTCTTTAAAACGATTCTTTTGTAACCAGTGACAAATTACAATGACTAGGAACTCTTTTATCACACTCATTTCTGTTCAAATATTACTAGCAACATAAACTATTTTTCTTGTTTCACTTGGGGAAAACATGCACAAATTCATCTGAATTATTGACTGCACTTTAGCCTCATCTGAAGTGTTGGCCCCTCCATCTGATAAGCAATGACCCCGAGTGGCACATAAAACCCTCTCCAAAGAGGCAGGAACATTATTGCTTTGCGCTGGGGACTGCAGCATGAGAGCCAATCAATCACATTTCTTGACAGCTTTTACAGCCTCCTCACATTAGTCCCAAGTCAAGCTCCATGGCTCCTATTGTTCACATTCTTCTTCTTCTTTTTGGCTCTGCTCTGAAGAATTTAGGGCAAGTCCAAGGATTCAGCAAAGAAAGACTATTATAAGCAGCTCACAGCTCCCTGCCTCCCATCTATACAGCAAGGCTCCAAAGCTTTCCCCCTGAAAGCAACATACTGTTGCTTAAAACACACACATACACAGTAGCCACCAACATTGTGTGTCTCACGCACATTTCATCCCCAAAAGTGGATGTTCAAACCTTATTACTGAAACAAAAAGCACATGGAAACAACCCTGTAAAACTATAAACTGTTTAACTCATTACAACAGCAGTCTCTCTATTTTACAATGGCAAAATCTTTCAAAAAGAGACTAATGGTACAGCTGCTTATCAAACACCTAGCATGAATGTTGTAGATTTACAATTCCCATGGGGTATCTCTCATGGTTAATATTAGTAGATGTTAGCAGTTTTATTAACATGCTTTTACAACCTTACTGACCTCTAATTTTTGCTGCATCTACAAGTGTTACCAATTGCATCAGGTAGTTTAGTGTAACACTCCAGGGCATAAATCTGTATATGCTGGATATATCTATTGACTGTGACATTAAATTTGGCTAACAAAGAATCTTAGCATTTTGTAAGAAAAAGAAAACCTAGCCCATATATTAAACTACATCAATAGTAGTATAAGTGAACACCAAAAGGGCCACAGACAGGGTTTCGTAAAGTCAGAAAGAAGGGCTTCTATTCATTTAATGATGCAATTCTGAACAGAATTATATCCTTCTAAATCCATTGAAGGATATAACTCTGTTTAGGTTTATAGTGTAACTCTCTCAATCATTATTTGTAGTTGCACAATTATGTCCTATTTTTTCTCTTGCCCCAAATATGGGTAAATCTTGACACATACAAAGTTTGGCTTGGAATTTTTTTTTGCACTACTCACTAGCGCCATAGCTTCAATTTGTGATTTGATTAATCTGTGAACTTTGACATATTTAAAATTAAAGATGGGAGTAAAAAGGTGTCCAAACATGCAAAGAAAGAGCAAGGGAAAGGCATTTGTTTTTTGTAATAAAGAGAGTTATTGATCATCTGGTCAGAAATCAGATGCAGCCATTCTAAAAAATCAATTATCTTGGAGCCTAAAGAAAAAGGAAGCAAGAATAGCTCTGACCTGACAGTCTGGTAACTGCTTAAAGAACAGGAAACAAAAGATTTGCATAAATGAACATTTCTCACAATGAAAGGAAGTAAGCAGTGGGGTTCCACAAGAATATATACTGTTTAATTTATTTCGAAATTGTCTGGGAGCAGGGATATTAGTGATATACTCAAATTGCAGACAACACCAAGTCACTCAGGATAGTGAAATGACAAGCAGACTGTGCAGATCGCTAAAAAAATTTCTGAAAAGTGGAGAAACATAAACAAATGAGATTAATTATAAAGAGCTCTAACACTGTGCACACTGGAGGAAATTTAACCTCCCAAACACAATGATGGAATCTGAGCTGTCTAGTAAAAAAATACTGGGTTTAGTGGACAGCTCAGAGTCAAACAAGATGACATGTTTCCCCAATTCAGTGCTCCTCAGAAAAACAGGGTTGCTTATCTGTAACTGTCATTCATTGAGTATCTTCTCTGCAGACACACATGGGGATTGTGCACGCACAGGCCTGCCTATTGGAAGGTTTTACAGCTCTGAGCCTCCAGGGGGCACAGTACACTGGAGCCATAAACTCATCTCCCCCTTCCAGCCACATGCTTCCATGCAGCAGTACCTCATACCCTCAGTCCCTCCATGCCACTGGTCAGCATGTAGTGGGGCAAGAAGGAGGGTATATGTGCCTACACAGAAGACACTCTATGAAAAACAGTTATACGTAAGCAACCCTGTTTTCATAGTCGATCTTCTGCAAGCTAACCCTAGGAGGTGGGACATGCTCACCTTATTTAAATAGCGACTGAAGAACTGCTTTCTCCAGTGCAGCTTCCTTTCTAGCTTGTATTTCTAGGTGCCTGCTCTACAAATCTCTGTCAAGGGAACACCACTCTAAAAGTCTGCAGACAAGGCAATGGTCCTTGTGGAATGGGCACGGACCTCTAAAAGAGAGGGGCACCTGGCCAGCTCATAGCACAATTTAATTGTCGCCACCAGCCACCTGGAGAAGGTCTGAGAAGTAGCACCTGGTCCTGAAAAACAAATGAACAGGGAGCCCTCCTTGCAATACCTAGCCATTTGCTTTAGGTAACACTGAGAGGGTGTAATCCTCTTTCTGCTTCAGAAGTAGAGGGTGGGGAAAATACTGGCAGAATGATCTCTTGAGACAAACCTCAAAACCACTTTGGGACAAAAACCCAGGTCGGGGTGAAGGGAAATTTTTTGATAAAAGGTTGCTTGACCCGTAATGCAGCCAGCTCAATCACCAGTATAGCTGAGGTGATCGCTGTTAGAAAGCATACTTTCATGGACAATAGCAATCTGGGACATGTAGCTAGAGGTTCAAAGAGTTTCTTCATTAACTGAGCTAACACTAGGGTTAACGAGCATTGGGAAACGATAGGGTCCCTTGAGGGACACAAATTAGCCAAATCTTTGAGAAAACGTTTTGTTTAAAAGTGTGAGGAAACAGAACTGACATCTACCCCAGCATGAAAATAAGAGACTGCAGCCATGTGTGCTTTCAAAGAGGAAAAAAACCAAACCTTTATCCAAACTACATACTCAAAAATAGCTTGCAGAGATACTGTATGTGGGGGAATGTCCCATTCCCTGCACCACAAAGCAAACCACTTTCATTTGTGCCTGTAAGATGTTCTAGTCAAGGGCTGGTGGGCATTCAACAGAACTTCATTGATCTCCTGTGAGAAAATTAGGTCCCTTTCCCAATTCTCCACGTGTTAAGTTGGACCTGGTCAAAATTGTGGTGAACTACTTTTCCCATGCTGGTGAGATCCCTGTACTTGGGGTGGGAGATGAAATGTCCCTGGGCGAGGATAATAAGGGACTGAAACCAAATCTGATGCGACCAGAAGGGAGAAAAGCCTTCTCCACTACCTTGATTAATAGGGGAATTGGGGGGGAACGTAAAACAGACCCCCCCACACACCAATGCTTCCTCTAAGCTGTGAAGTCTTGTGAGCAAAAATTCTACTTTGTGAGCTACTGGCATTAAAGTTGTGATCAAGCAATTTGGATACTGCATAACTTAGTTTGCTCTGGAGCCATCCTTCCTGAGCTAAGACAAAAATGTGTGAGCCAAAGGCTAAAAAACTGTGAGTTAGCTCATACTACGCTTAAAGGGAACACTGCCCCCCACTCAAGGGAGCTGAAAGGCATTGCCGAGGGACGCTTTGCCCTGGCTCGCACAAGAGCAAAACTGCCCTGCTTTAGTATTGTACTGAGTGGCAAAGAGGTCTATATCCGGGGTTCCCCCAAATTGCAAAGATGGGTGCTAAGCAATGCTTCCTCTAAGCTGTGGAGTCTTGTGAGCAAAAATTCTACTTTGTAAGCTACTGGCATTAAAGTTGTGAGCGAGCAATTTGGCTACTGCATAAATTAGTTTGCTGTGGAGCCATCCTTCCTGAGCTAAGACAAAAATTTGTGAGCCGGATGCTGAAGAACTGTGAGCTAGCTCACACTAACTCAGCTTAGAGGGAACACTGGTGCTAGGTACTATGGATTGATGGACCATTCATGTGAGGAGCTCCGCATTCTGCTCAACATGTCCGCTTGCACATTCAGCACCTCAGAAATGTGGATAGTCTGTATAGATGAGTTGAGTCCCTCCCAAACCCAGGTGCCAGACTGCTGATGCATCCATACAGAGGTCCCTGGCACCCATGCTACACTCGTTCACATAGAACATCACCACAGTCCATCCGAAGGAGAACAGAGCAGTTGTGTAACATATCTGAGAAACAGATAAGGGAATTTCGCACCTCTCAAAGTTCAAAGAAATTAATGTGGCATTTTCTTTCTGTAGGTGACCAGGTACCCCCAACAGAGGACCAGGTACACCCAACAATATGCTCCCCATCCCAGAAGTGAAGCATCTGTGGTAAGTATGATCTTGGTTTGGGGTCCCCCAAAGGGGACCCCAACAGTTAAGTATTCCAGGAATGTCCACCAGGAAAGGTCTCTAATCACCAATCTGTGTATAGAAAAACTCTGGTGTAACAAATGGTGCTCTGCCCTATAAAGGATCAAGAAACATAGTTGTAAGCAGTGTTCCCTCTAAGCTGAGTCAGTGTGAGTTAGCTCACAGTTTTTTAGCCCCCGGCTCACACATTTTTGTCTTAGCTCATGAAGGAGGGCTCCAGAGTAACCTAAATTATGCAGTAGCCAAGTCGCTCGCTCACAACTTTGATGCCAGTTGCTCACAAAGTGGAATTTTTGCTCACAAGACTCCACGGCTTAGAGGGAACATTGGTTGTAAGGGCCTCATACGTAGATGTGCATGGGTTAAAACCACCACGGTAGAGGCTATATATCCCAAAATCTGTAAAACTATACGTACTGGTTGAAAACATTTCACCTTAAGCTCGTTGACCCAGGCCTCCTGAAAAGTAGCTAATCTACCACAAAATGTAGCATTTTCTAGTCAAAGAACTTTTTGTGACTGGGTTGGTTCCCTTGTCGACACCGTCTGTGTAGAGCTCCAGGACCCTTATACCTCTGGTATCCCTGTTGGGGGGCCTGCTGTTCATAGGGAGGATACTGTGAACCAGACAAGGATTCAGATCTATACTCCCTCTGGTAAGGGTGCCACTGATGGCAACCATAGGGACGCTGTCTATATGAAAAAGAGTTTGGGTGGGTACCCCCTAACGACTTCGCTGTTTCTTTTAATCATAGTCAAAGTCTCATCAGTCTTCACAGAGAAGAGTGTGGAGTCATCAAAAGGTAAGTCCTCCACCTTCTGTTTAGTCTTATTTGGCAATGTTGTAAATCATAGCCAAGCATGTCGGAAAAATGTGATCACTGTCCTCCTGGCATGTGCTGCCGCATCTGCTGAATGCCTCCTGGGTTTGATTCCCCACTCCTCCACATGTAGCTGCTGGTGTGACCTTGGGTCAGTCATAAGTTCTTTCGAAGCTGTTCGCCCAAGGGCAATTCTCAAGAGAGCTCTCTCAGCCCCATCTACCTCACAGGGTGTCTGTTGTGGGGAAGGGAAGGGGATTGTAAGCCACTCTGAGACTCCTTCAGGCAATGAAGGGTGGGGTATAAATCCAATATCTTCTTCTTCTTCTTCTTGCAACCCTCCTTGTCCGTCAGGGCAGCATGGTATGATTGTCGTCCCTTGAGCTGCATTTCCTCTACAACGAGGGAAGATGGAGGGGGATGCATAGAGAGATAGTTAAAAGGTTGTGTTTTTTTTTTACCTTGTACAACTGTTTGACACACTTGGTGCTTGGTTGGGCTGATGCTGGGCGCTGCCAAACTTGTAACATAATGTCTTCCAGACTCTCTAGAATTGGGAATGCAATCAGATGCAGAAAGTCTGAATACAAGCACCTGAGAATTTTATCTTCAGGCTTATGTTCTGTCAGGGAGATCTCTATTTCTAGGGACTGTACCATTCTGGTCATTTGTTCACCATACATTTTAAAATCTTCGGTTGGTAATGCAAATGAGAAATTACCCATGTGTTCATCAGAGCCTGGATCCGAGTCAGAGCCCTCGGATTCAACAGCTCTATCCACCTCTCCTTCGAATCCAGGAGAGGGGGGCAAACCGATGGTGGGTAGTGGTAAGAATGGTGTCCATACAGGTACTCAGTTGGCTCCAAATGTCTGTGTGAACCCAGCTCCCACTCCTCTAGGTACCAAGGAGACATAGGGTTTGGGTTCGAGGGCCATCTAGCTGGTAGAGGCGGGTGATGCTAGGGGGGTCATCTGTCCCGTCTTGGTGGCGGCAAGAAACTGTCCCGATGGCAGCTTATGCTCAACCTCCCCTTCCGAAAGCAAGGCAGGCAGAGAGCTCAGATTCAGAGGTGTTCTGGGCTCTTGTTCCAAGGATGGCCCTGGATCTGGGGTGGGAACATTAGGATTCTTCTGGGAGCCGTCTTTTGATTTCCTCTTCCCATTTTTAGCCTTCTTGGCAAAGGGCTCAGAAGAGGCATGCTGCATAGACATGGAGCGTGAACCCGACTGAGTTTTCTGAGATCTGGAACTGGGGGGCATCAAGCTCCTTTTCCCACAGCGCCACTTTTAGCTTTAGGGATCTCTACCCATCAGCCTTTGGGGTAAACTTTAAACAGGCCTTACATGTGGACATGGAATGGCCTTCCCCCAGGCAGAAGAGACACAGTTCGTGGTTATCCATCTACGTCATTTTCACACCACAACAGTTGCATTTCTTAAATAATGCCTTCTGTGCCATTGCAGGACCAACGCCCTTGACACAAATGACAACAGAAGAATTCCTCACTGTGAAGAACAGGAGACTTGATCGACACAACCTACAGAGTCAGCAGCAAAAGAAGAACTGAGAGTAAGAGGTGCTGCTGTGCAAGACCATAAGGCTGGGGGCAGAGACACGTTTCTGGCTCCAGCACACAGTGCCCCATGGAAGCTCAGAACTGGAGGTACCTACCGACAGGCAGGCCTGCGTTTGCATAGTCCCCATGTGGGACTGCACAGAAGATCAACGATAAACATGGCAGCTACAGGGAACTAAACTGCTAGTCACTGCAGGCACCCAATTCAGTTTAGGACTGCAGTTGCAGGAGGAGGTGCTTTTGTCCCTCAGTGAAAATTCTGATTGAGAGGTTAAAAAAAGACCAATTATGTGCTAGGATTATTAGAAAACAGGGGAAACAAGTTGACAGTATGGTATGATGTAGCCATGTCTAGAATTCTGTGTACAGCTGTGACTGCTCCATCTCAAAAAAGATACCATAGCACTAGAAAAGATAACCAAAATGATCAAGGGGATGACGTACCTTTCCTGGGTGAAAGTATCTGGAGCTGTTCAGTTTAGGAAAAAAATGATTATTACGGGGAAGCATAATAGAGGTTTATAAAACTGTGCATGATGTTAAGAAACTAGCATGACAAAAATCCTTCTTTCATCATTTTAGAATTTCCAGTCACTTAATGAAATTTATCGACAGTAGATTCCAGGGCAGAAAAAAGAAAGTACTTCTTTATATAATATATATTTAGCTTACAGCATCTGCTGCTAGAATATATTATGATAAAGCACTAGATGATTGTAGATTATCAATTCATACTAGCCATGATAGCTATATGGAATAGCTTCAGAAAGAATATGCCTCTGAATACTAAAGGGCTATTGCTGTTACACCCTGCTTCTGGCTTTTTGGAAACATCTGACTGGCCAGTTTTTGATCATAGTTATACCTTTAAGTGAAACCATATATGATCATTAGTAAAAAGGAAGACATAATTCTACAATTATAGGATTTCAACTCAGTCTACTTTCTTATAGCATACCTCTGATCAATTGTCTTCCATATGTTCTAGGGATGATGCTTACACAGAATACCAGGTCCACAAGTATTCCTTAGAATTCTATTACATGTGTACAACATGGACAGATCTGCTACTCCACCTTCCAGGCCTGGAAACCCACAATGGGCTCCACATATGGATAATCAAGGAAAATCTTGCAAATGGTATAGCATGTATTATTTATTAATTTACTTAGACTATACCCCACTTTCCCCTCCCCCAGTGGCTGACAACATTCTCCCCTTCTACATTTTATCCTTACAACAACCCTGTAAGTTTGGTTAAGCTGAGAGTGTGTGTCTGGCCCCAACTTACCTGGCAAGCTTCCATAGTAAAGCGTGGAAATGAACCTAGGTCTCCCAGATCCTAGTCCTATATTTTAACCCCTACACCACACCACTACAACCCATACCATATTGTGGCAATATAGTGTTTGTCTTCCTAGATTAGCTATCATGATCTTCATAGAGGAGGCAAAAGCATAGGCTAATCAGATAAAGGCGTGAATGCACACTAGTTGCACTGTGAGTGCGGTCACACGTGCCAGATAACACGGGGGGGAAGCAAAGCTATTTGCTCCGTAGTAATTTGACCCGCCACTGCGTGATCAGACGCAATGGCGGGTGAATTGGTTTTTTTCCTTCGCCTCGTGTTTCCGGTGTACTTCAACGAGGGATCATTGATGCAATGGGAGTGCGCTGCAGCGATCACATGGGGAAGTCATTCTGCGGCCCGTCGCAAACCTGTCTGATACTGCACTTTCCCTGGTATTTTTTAACTCCGCTTCTTCGGCAGTGCGCAACGGGTTGCCAACAGGTGTGGGACGCTTGCCAGATGTTCCCATGTGATCGCACCCTTCAAATCCGCCCGGCAGTCGTGCCTATCATGCAGTGTTTCCGGTGCACTTCAATGAGGGATCATTGATGCAATGGGAGCGCGCTGGAGTGATCACACGGGGAAGTCCGTCTGCGGCCCGTCGCAAACCCGACTGATACTGCACGTTCCCTGGTATTTTTTAACTCTGCTTCTTCGGCAGTGCGCAACGGGTTGCCAACAGGTGCGGGACACTTGCCAGATGTTCCCATGTGATCGCACCCTTAAAATGCGCCCGGCAGTTGTGTCTATCACGCAGCTAATTCTGTGTGTGATCGGGACCTGTGTCCTTTGTACACACGTATCTTTGGATTGAGCTCAGGATATCGATGTGACATTGAAAGGATGGACAGCTATAGAATTTTCTAACTTTTGATGTAATTTGTTCTCAAGATTGCTCTCAAGATTATCTTGTGGTACATTCTTTTCTTTTCTTTTTTTTGCAAAACCCACCAGGTAACCTTTTTGGGAAAGCATTATAAGAACCTTTATTGGACCAGACTTCAAATAGCCAAAATTAAATCAGTACAGGACAGTTTCAATTCCTTTCAGTTTTTTCTGTCAACCAGGACTTCACTGTGCATACTTTGAGAATTTACAAAAAACTAAAGTTTTACAAATCTGAAATGTTAAAAGGGGGGGGGGGTTACCTGAACTCCAGCAGAATGCTGTTGCATTCACTATGATGTCTTATATTGCTAACCAGTGGTTCTGCCCCTGCTCACTGCACTCACCAACCCCCTAGCTCCTTTGGTCATACTATTTAGTTTGAGTTGTAAATGAACAATTTTGCCTCCTGCCAAAAGAACTGCAGCATTACTAGATGAAGCAAGAGCTTTCATTGGCAAGCTGTAGGCAAAATTAGATTTATAATAGATATCATACTCCCCTTTCTCCCCAACAGTACCCAAAGTGGCTTCTATCATTCTTCTGTTCTACATTTCATCCTTACAGCCCTGTGAGGTAGGTTTGTCTGAGCGGGAGTGACTGGCCCAAAGTCAGCCAACATCCTTTCCTGACAGAGCAGGTATTCAAACCTTGATCTCCTTGATCCTAGTCTGATATTCTAATTACTATACTACACAGGCTATGATAAGTCAAGGAAGATGTTAAAGCCCCTGTTCTGTAAGAGAGGGGTATTTTCCATGCTTCCTATCTATGCTGTCTGCTCTTGTGGGCTTATGAGTAAAGTGTTGCATCAATTGCAAACACCAGAGGGATATCTGTGAGATAATCTATGATGAGATTCCCTGCATTTTTGGCACTGCAGACTCTTGATGATCTTGAAACTGGCTGCCAATTTTGAAACCTCTAGCTTCATTTTCTGATGAATTATTCCTGCCACATATAAACAAACTTAGCGAACACTGCAAGTAAAAGGAGGTATCTTTTACAGATAACCCCAGTCCAGAATGTTTTGATATCCTGAAAGTTTGGCTTGTAACTCCCATGACCATCTGAAGCCGGTGGCCAAATTTGAGGGTCCTTGCTTTATTTCTGGATAAATTACACTTGCCAGAGACAACCCTAGCTTCAATAGAAAATACCATAAGGTGGCTTCTGCAGATATTCTAGGCCAGGATGAGTCTTTTTATTTTTGACACTAAAATGCCCATTACCATCCTGAACTGGGTGCCCAAATTTCAAATGCCTTCTTCTGTTTTCCGATGTGTTGTGATTCCAATACACAAAAAGTGTGTGTGTGTGTGTGTGCGCACACGCGTTCTGGCAATTATGCAGCCCAGGATGTTCTGAGTCCCTTCATGCTTGGCCCTACAGCTCCCATGATTATCCTGAAACCACAGTGGCCAATTCTGAGACTCCTGCCTGCACCATGCCACAGCCAGCCAGACCATCCTTTTGATATAGACTCACACTCACTGAACCAAACAGAATCAAAAGGAAGGCTTGAGGAGACTGCTTCAGAAATAAAACAACAAGCAACTGGCAGGATATAGATGCCTCTTAACTAGTGCCTATCTGCTCTCCATGTCAGTTCCAGACAGTGGACTCAGCTGAGCTCCTTGCAATTTAATGAACAGACATACCCAACAAATCTCCTTGAAACAGCTTGATGGTGGTTATTGTCTTAGAGCCCAAAAGAGAGATTTGTCATTGGTTAAATAAGTTTTACAGATGTAACAGATAAAGGCCGTAAAGAAAACAAATGCAGCAGAGCATAAAACTGTTCTTCCAAAATATGTGTGCTTGTATACACCATGTCCAAACCAAAGGGAAATACTCAAGTGAAGATCAGAAAGCATGAAACAATAGCCTCCTTTGCCTTTCAGGGGACATAAATTTTATTTTCAGAATGTAAATCTGAAACCCATGTTCTTCAATTTGCATGTGCATATGCATTACCTAAAACTGATTTCAAGGAGATTTGCTCAACAGCATAGATCTTGCCCAGAGTATTATTTATTGGAAAACAAGCTCTTATACTGTATGGCATTTTGGGATCTCCGTCTGCACCCTCGGTTTATCAAGGTTTTACTTAGATCACATATATTGTCAAAAGTTTTTTTTAACCAATGCAAAACTGTACAGGAATCAGTATTCCTTTTACTTCTGTTAATTTTTTTCCTCTTTGTTGTTTGCTGACTTTATTATTTTCACATATTGCTGTAACTGTTCATTCAGTTTCACATTATGGAATTTTTGAAACATTATTACTGTCACCTTTTATGTTAAATGGCTAGCTAATTCTTTCCCCATCAATTTGGTTTAATTTGATAGGAAGAACACAAATAATGCTGTATTTTAGATTATGTATTCTAAACCATGAAAAACAGTCCTGTTGATATAGTGACTTACAAGGATCTGGTCCACCTGATGTCAAAGGTGGCAGGTATCCCCCCCCCCCCCCCTCCTTCTATCACAGCTGCTGCTGATAAAAGGCCAAAGGATCATTGGATCACAGCTATGGATAGACAGAGGGGAGGAGGAAAGAAGAAGCTGGAGCTCTCCTGCCCATTCCTAACAAGCACTTTAATGAGTTTTTCATGAACCCTGCTTATAACTATGCCACAACTATTTAACCTCATTCCTCAAGCAAGGAAGTTTTATAGTGTTTCCACCAAGGACTTATACTTGGCTTTGATGTAGGCGAATTCCTTATTCTAGGTACCATGTGCCCTTATTGTTTGAACACTGTTTATACCACCAGGGCAACTAGGAGTATTTTCTCATCTAATCTGGCAGAATGTGATGGAACAAATATCAAGGAATTTTGAAAAGCAGCTTGGAAAGGGAAGAAGGGTATTCTAAGAGTGAAGCTTTCAAAGTCAGTCTGATGCTTTGCACAGTT